AACCAATGACTGAGCAAGACGGTAGCCAAGGTCACACTGTTTCTTGAGGTGGCCCTTGGACAATGAATGTACAAGGTAGCGGTACAAGGGCCCAGCCATTTTGGTTCAATGTGAAACTCCTAGAATGGGTCATCTTTGCTCTGGAGCTCCTCACTGGCCTGGTAGACTGTGTCAGGCTGTGTCGTGATCTGAGGGCTCCCTCTGCCCGAACACACAGCCTCCCTTTTCCTTTTACGGGTATAATTTATTTCACTCCTAACTCCCTCTCAGCATCTTCTTCCCAGATGCTGGCATAAATCATTTGGATTCTTGTGAAGAATAAATGAGATGATAGACGGAAAACATTTTGCCCAGCACCTGGGACGTGGTAAGCTCTCAAGGATCGGCGCTGCTGCTGACCATGATTCAACAGGGTTCAAGGCATGCGATTATTCCACAGGGCATGGTGCAGGTGGAAATATTACAAGAACTGTAGAGTTTATCATTTATAAGCTATTTCTACTTTTACAACTTACTGAAGAAACTAGAGAAGTACCAGTGTAAACTGTAGCTGAACTGTGTGAACACTAAAACCACAGATTTTAGTCGAAGAACTAATTCTTATTAAAAACCTCATTCTAAGTGCTAGACTGGTATGCTCTGAAGTAAAAAAAAAAAAAAAAACAACACACAATATAGCTAATGTGATATCATAGATTATAACTTCTGCAGCAAGAAACTGGAAGTTTCATCTTTTTTTTTTGGTGGTGATGGTGGTGGTTTAAATCTATTTTAGTATTAAACAGTTGAGGCTATTAAGTGTTACATAAATTTAACACAGAATTTCCAAATCAGATGAGGTTTACAAGGTAAAAGTTGGTCCATTTGGAAGACCATGATCAATCAATATTAAAAACATGTAAATGGGGTGTGTGGGGGAGACTTGATAATATGGGTGAATGTAGTAACCACAATATTGCTCATGTGAAACCTTCATAAGATTGTATATTAATGATACCTTAATTTGAAAAAAGTATACTTTCAATTAACTCACTAACATAATGAACATATTTGACCCTTTAAGATTTTAAGAATTTTTAACTGGACACATCTCTATGCTCAGGATAATGAGTATGGATTATGAAAACAGGAAACAAATATTTCATTATAAACACTAATTCCAGAAGATTTCACACCCACATTCTATAATCTAATTAGATTAATTTCCCAGAGCATTCATGTATTCTTGGTAGCTTGCAATTTTTAAGTGTCAAAATAAAGCCTTAGTTTTAAATGTGGGTGGTGTTGATGAAACAAGTATGAGTAATACTTGCAGGAAACACACTATTAGCTTTAGCTAGGAAGTGGGTGACACTTGAGTAGTCCTTTAAAGAAGCACTTTCCATGTTACACCAACTTAAAGCAAGAGTTATAATGTAGCCACACAGTAAGCACCAACATTTACAAAACACCCTTATGGTGCTTGAAATGCAGTTTTACCTACCAAAGAGGCAATTTGCACAAATTTTCAGGGTTATATGTAATGTCTAAAGTGAAGGCAACAAGCTGCTATGTAAATATCAACCACAAAATTGCCAGACCTCCCATGTTTTGTTTAATAGCTCCTAGCCAGAAAAGACTGTGCAAAGCCTGTTGTAATGGAGAGTCAAGGATGACAGAATTAAAGTTGATTTAGTCTGTCTTCTGAGGCAGTCCTGTCTGCTTGCCAGAGTTCTGCAAGTAATGTCTCCCCTGCTGGTCTGCTATGTTTCTCCCAAACAGGGTTAAGAACAATGAGCGAGAGAAGAGTTATGATCTGTTGTCAGTATTGTCCCCCATTTAGAAATCTGCAGTAAGAAGAGGTACTAATTCTCCCAAACCTGGAGCTATTAATAGTCAGTTACTTCAAGAACAGAAAAAAATCTGTAGTGTCTAGTTTAAAATGTTAACACACTATAAAGTGTTCTTATATAAACATACACATACATATCAGGCATAAAGCATCATGAACAACAGAGAAGAGATAAATTTCTCAAGCCCTACTTTACAGATAAAAAAGGCTCCTACACTGTGTGTATTTGTTGGCAGGGAGCATATAGGAAATCTCTGTACCTTCCACTCTATTTTACTGGGAAACTAAAACTGCTCTAAAAAATAAAATCTATTTTTTAAAAAAGGTGCCTAGAGTCATAAAAAATGTTTATAACTGCCAAAGTGCTGAAAGCTGTTGAAAAGCTGAGAAAATGATCCTCCCATTTTCTTAAAAACGCAAATGTTAAAAGGGAAAAAAGGGTTTATTTATTCACCAAATATTTATTGAACTCCTACTATGAGTCAGGCATTGTTCCTGGAACAGTTGGTAGAGAACTCTTTCACTGCTGCTGGTTCACAATGCGCGTCACATTCAGTGTCACCAAACTCAACCTAAGGGTTGAATGCCACTGCATGCCTGGCATTGTCCTAAAAACACAGGTTAAAAAAAAAACTGTGTACAGTCCACATAGGTGGCTTCTTGCTATGTTAACCAGCACAGTATGTATTAATCAGGTCTCTTTTGGCTTTCTAGCTTTTGGTATTTGGGGCGACTCCCTTTCTTTTTAGCACCAAAATAAAGCAATAAAGATGGCAGACAAGACATAGGAGACAACGAAACTTAGTTCTTTCACTTAGTCATCCATTAGCTGCAACGAGTAGAATAATTATGAGGAAAGCAAAAATTTCCAAAAAATTTATTCATGCTTCACACTAATGAGCAATCTAATAAAAGGTTAGACTGATACATCAACAACCTGTCACTTCCTTCTACTAGGTAGGTAAGAAAAAACATCCAAATAAAAGAAAATTCTCGCTTTGCCGTTTCTCTAATGACCAGCCACAATTGCAAGAAGTCGCCCTATTAACAGTACTTTTTTTAACAAAGTCTTGAGTAACGCATCTTGGTTTAGCTTAGACACGTAAATCTCTCTCGTGACTGATGTTGCAGGCCAGAGTGAAAGCCTACATTACATGTTTTCACTGAAATAAGTAGGGATCCTTCAGTGTATGTGATGAGACTAGACTCAGATCAGTGTCTTGCCCACAGTAGCTATTATAAAAATTCATTAAGAGGCAACAGTTTGAAGGGTAGGATAGAAACTATTTTATTATATCCTAATCACTCTAAAACAGCCATTCAGGCTTTGTTACGACCTTCCGACAGAAAAACAGAAAGCCCCAATTTAACTACAAACTCATCCAATAAAGTTATTACATATTACAGGTTTTTAGTCCATTTTTATAGGTGTGTAACTTCCTGACATTTCATGACTTCTCAAAACTTTCCTAGAATATGAAAGTTTACTCCTATAGTAGTGTTCAAAAGAAGAGAGAGATGGGGGTGGTGAAGGTTTTAGTCCAAAGCAGGATGTGGCTTAAGAGTAGGCCTTTACTGTAAAGTGCATGTTAAAAACCTGCAGTTTTAAAAGGCATATATGGTCTTTGACAAAAGTCCTAAAATGTGTGTAAAACCTGGTAGTGTTTGTGGAGATCTACGAAAGCTACCACCACCTGTTACAAATAACTCACAGCCACCCAAACCAATACTCGTCATCTCTCTCCATCTAGAAGCGTAGTTCTGCCAAGTTAGGCTTTAGCACCCCATCGTTATCTCATTACACATGTGCACGATCCCAAAGCCACCATTCAGAGAAAAACCTCAATCTGTGCCCTGTGAGGGCTGCCCAGCACACCACACTTTACCAAGTCTCACCACTGAAGAACTGGAGCTGCATTTTTCAGAGTCCTTCATCATTCCAATTAAATTAAACACACAAACAACTCAGATACTAATAAAACAAGGCAACTGAAAATAGACATTCGCTTGAACTTACACTTGTTGGTAGTTCACCTTAAAACTCAAGACGTTGAACTTCTCTCACTAGGGCAAATATGTGTCCGTTCCCTTCTCTCTAGTAAACTATGATCCACTGGAGAGCAAAGGCTGATACTTCAGAGCAGTGCTTTTTTAAAACACTCTTCACCGACATATTCTTGCATATGTACAACTGCTCACCGACTGAAAAAAAATGTCAAGTATCACACACACTGTAGAAAATTACTGTAGAAAATTCCAAGCATATACAGTAGGAAATATAGTCTCATGAGCCCTCCTTATCAAGCAGCTTCAGTGATTACCAACTCATGACCACTTGTGTTTCATTAATGTCCCCATCCAGTACCACCCCAATGTATTTTGAGGCAAATCCAAGACTTCCTGTCATTAATATATTTTCCAGTTCTATTTACTGTCAACAACTCCTTTTTGCTTCCTTCCTATCTCTCAAACCCCCAAAGAAGCGTACAGAATAATGTGGGCAATTGGAGCTATTTTATAGGTTTTCTTCCCTTATCTACTACGTCCTTTCTTCTGCATCACCTTCTGTAACATTCACCAACTTCACTGTGAAATGCCCGTCACTGCATTCAGTTCGGTAACCATAGTCTAGCTACTTCACTGAGTAATATATTGTATTTCTACCTCTATGATCTCTTCACCTGTTTGAACAAAAGGAAAACAATGGTGCCACAATTTCTATTCTCTCGAAATTTATTTTATTTCTTCCCCACCCGGGATAAACTAAAAAGAGCTAAAGGCTGCAGAGAAGGAATAAAAGAAAGAAATACAGCACTTAAAAGGGTAGATTTTGCCTAATTAGGTGTGTGCAAATATTTTAAACCACCTGTTACCTCATTTTCAAGATAAATTATGCACGGGGAGGGCTGTGCAACACAGAGAAGACAAGTAGTGATTTCACAGCTGATGGACAGTGACTGTGGAGGGGTATGTGGGGGGAACTTGGTGAAGGGGGGAGTCTAGTAAACATAATGTTCTTCATGTAATTGTAGATTGATACCAAAATAATAAATAAATAAATAAATAATTTGTAAATATTAGCCGAAATTTTGGGTTCCTTTTTAGACAGAGGATGTTTATAAAATGAACTATTTTATTTTAAGGGAGCTAGTGCCTTCAGGATTTTGGTGTTAATAAGAGTTAACTGCTTCTGAGCCTAAGAAATGGTTATGTAAAAACAAAGCAAAAAAAAAAATTAAAGGAGGATGCACTCTGTTTCTGGAGCTGCTCTAACCTTGTTTTATTTTAACATGAGATTTCTCGGACTCAGAGAGCAACCACCACCCACCCCACACTTTCTTCTCCACACCCTTTACAAATGGAATTCCGAAAGGAGGCACTTTCGAGTTCATCATGGGAAATGGCTCATCTTGAGAACATTTCAGTGCAACGGAGATTTCACCCACTCCTCCCCCCGGACACCGCACTGCCCAGCCCTCGCCCAGCGATTTCCCCGGAATCCGGAGGAAGGCAGGGAAAGATGCTCCATTCCAAGCCCAGCCTCTCCTCCGGAGCCCGGCCTGCGCACAGCCTCGCCCCGCGCTCCCCGGGGTCCGCGGAGAACGCGTCCGGACACTGCGCTGCTCCATTCCCCATCCACTCCCCGAGTAAGGATCTCGGCGGGGCGCTCCTCACCGCCAACCGTCCCCATCTGAAACTGTTTCCTCTGAGCAGCTCAAGAATTACGGGCCCCACGAATGCCTCTTCCGAAGGTGATAACCCAAGACCTCCCCCTAACTCCGACTACTCTCCCCTCCAGGCCAAACGTTGTAATCCCCACACCAAATCCAGGATCTCGGCTGCCCCTCAAGAAGTACAAGTGCGCCCCAAACCGTCACCGGTCAAAGTGCTTGCCTCTAGAGGGAAGACACCACTTCTCGCCCCTGTACCCCAAAACCCAAGTCCGCAGACCCGGCCGCGCCGAGGCCGCCCCGCCCCCGGGAGGAGCGCGGATCCGCCCGCACCTCCGCTGGGAGAAAGCCGCCCCGGGAACTCGCGGCTGGGGCGCCCGAAAAAACAGCGCAGCCCCGAAACCCGAGGGCCTCCACGCCCCCAGCGCAGCGGGCCGCGGCGCGCCGGTTACTCGCCCCGAGGGATTAAGGTTCTTACCCCCACACCGCTGCGGCCGGGAGGGGGAGGCCGGCCCGCGCCCCCTGCTCAGGCCTCCGCGGACACAGATCTGCGCCCGCAGCTCAGGCCCGCGGGGACCCGGACCCGCGCCCCTTGCGCAGGCCGCCGGGGGCCGGGGGGTCCTAATCCGCGCCCTCCCCTCAGACCGCCGGGGACGCGAATCCGCGCCCCCTCTTCTGGCCGCCGGGGACACACACCTCCTCCCCTCGCCTCCGAAGGGCGAATCTCGCTCGCACCTCCTGCTCCGGCCAAGGCCGAAGAGGCGCACCCGGACCCGCGCCGCCTCCCCAGGCCGCGGGGACCCGGACCAGCGCGCCATCGCCGCCACCGGGGCAGCCCGGCCCGCGCCCCCTGCCCAAGCGCGCCGGACACCCCCCCCCGCAGCCCGGCGGGCCCAGCCCCTCACTCACCCAGAGCTCGGTGCCCCAGCTCATGGTGCAGGGGGCGGGAAGGGGCGCGCCGCGCGGCGGGCGCGGCTCTCCGGTCCCACTCCCCGGCGATCCCTTCGCCCCTGGCGCTCCCTGCGATCGAGGAAAGCCTGTGCCCGCGCGGCCGCCGCCTGGTCCGGATCGCCCCCCTCTCCTCGGGTCTCCTCCTCCCAGTCGCTCCTCAGCAAAATGGCCCGAGGAAGCAGCAGCCGCTGCCGCCGCAGAGCCCGCCCGCCGCCCGGCCCACACCGGGAGAGCGAGGGGAGGAGGGAAGGAGGGGAGTGGGGGCGGGGCTGAGCGCCGGGGGCGGGGCTGGCCTGACAGCTCGCGCACGCGCGCGCCCCGCCCCCGCCCCCGGCCCACCCTCGCCCCGGCGCCCTCCTCCAGGCCCGCGACGCCCCGGGGTCCGGAAGGACGCGGACGGAGGCAGGAGGACAGCCGGGACCTGGAACCGAGGGGACGCCCCCCCCCGAGTGTTCTTATTACTTATTAGCAACCACTCTGCTCCTAGGTCAACCACTCGCCTTTGAACGTAGCTGGCCCCTGTTATTACCGATGCTCTGCGGAGGCCTGAGGTTGCTCCCCTGCGAAGAGCGCCACTTTGGACTTAAGGACAATAGCTTTCCCCTGCAGCCGTTGACGGTGACCGGAGTGCCCTCGGGATGCTGTTTCCCCGCCGCCCAACAGCCGCAGTGGCCCGAGGAGCCCAGTAGCTTTGCGCGGTGGGAGTGGGGCCTGGGAGGTGACGTCTGTGCACTCTACAGATAGAGACGTCGAGGGAAAGAGCAAGGCAAGCAGCTTCGAGTGGCTGGGAAAGGAATCCAGGGGCGCACAACCGGTGATTTGTAACGTCCGAAACCCCTGGCCCTCAAGAAGTACAAGTGCGCCCCAAACCGTCACCTGTTAAAGTGCTTGCCTCTAGAGGGAAGACACCTCTTCTCGCAGGAAGACACCTGCTTTCCAACTTGTTTAGCCAAGAAATGCCCAGACTTTAAACCATATTGCCGCTTGATGGGAAAAAGCAAAGGTGCTATGGGTCCACAGATCATGTGTTGGGATCCAATCAGCCTCCCGCGCGCACTAGCTGGGTGGCCTCAGACAGTACCCCACCTCTGTAGAGGCTCGTTGCCCCCACCTGCCAAATGGAGGTGATAATGCACCCGCTATGTGCTGGTGAGGACCAACATGAGCGTCTGTTAGCTGGCCTATGGTTAGTAAAGAGCTAATTTTTAAAAAGATACTGATTCCCTTTCTCTGTATTTCAAATACTCCCAACAAGCTATGGAGAATTTTTGGAGTTCCAACTCTTTACTGTTAATAACTAGGCCCTTTCTCCCCAACTTTTCTTTCTTTCTCAGTTAATGCTACAGACTTTTTTGAGTAACTCTGGACTCCCAAAATGGGCCCCATTCTAGAAATATTTCACAATGATGCATCTACTATACCTACTACCTCCCAGCTTCAACCAGCTTATCATTCTCCTCCATGGCAGGGCAGAGCTAAAAAACCCTTGCAGATAAACCTCTCAGTGTACTTCCTTTGTTGGACAGATTTAACAATACATTTAAACTGTCAAAACTGTTTTGGTCTGGCTTTCTTCAGCTATTAGTTCCCCTCACTCCCTCTTTTTTGATGTGTGTGCTTAAGTATTTTGCTCTCACAGTTACCGGGTCTGGGAGCACTTCTCTGCAGAGCCTGCTAGGTATGTTAACAGAATTGCAGAATAATAGCTGGTGTGAGTTGGAGGGGTTAGAAATTCCAACAGCGCTGCACACAGTTTGCTTTGTGGAAATGGTGAAATGCAGGCTATCTAACAAGACCCTGCCTTGCTAGCCACCTCAACTTCCTTTCTTGTTAAGGCTTGACAATTTTTTTCCAGTCAAACGTAATGATCTAATCTTGACTGAGTTCTCGAAAACAGAGTGACCCCTTGTGAAAATCTGGTAAGCAGAAAGAAAAAACCACCTACTTACTGCTCTGGAGAAGAGGAAGAATCGGGGAGAAAGGAAGGGAGAGCAGAAGACAAAAGGAGACCTCATTGAGACGAAAACTTTTAAGATGGGTAAGCAGGAAAGTTATAGGAACCCATTAAAAGCTACAGCAATAGAACTATATGGGACTGAGTCAATCAGACCACACTTGCAAGTATCTTTAATTTCATTAAGTTTGGGTGGTAACTAGAAAAGGTTTGAAATTGTCAGAATCTTCAAAAAACAAAGGAAAAAGACACCATTGATCTTAAAGCAATGGAAACAAACAGGGTTCGGATAAAGAGAAATAAACCAGCAGAGAGAAAATAAATGAAATGTTCAGGAAGATCAAAATCCACTTCAGTTTCCCTTATAGTAAGAGGGAGTGATCCTAAGACAAGGAATCCTCACTATTAACAAATTACTGTGACTTGAACTACTTATGAATCAGTTTTCACAAGAAGTATTCTAAACCCTGTCTATGTAAATGATTGAATTCTGTAGGAGTCCAGTCTGTGTTATGTACACGTTTAACCTTTCAGTAATATCTAGAAAACACTGATTTACAAAGTTACCATTTTGGTGGGTGACTATGTAGGTTTCCACTGAATAATCTGATCACATGGACATAATTAGCCCTAAAATAAGGTACTAGACAAACAGAGACCCTGTTGGTGTGTAATTAAAGGCAAACAATTCTATTAGAGCTTTTTGGCAATTATAATGCTGCCTCCAATTAATACACATCTAATTCAGGGGCTTAGATGTATACATATTTCTATCATTATCTATCTTATCTATTTTAAAGGAGGTAGGTTTTGCAATTGTTAAATTGGGATCCTAGCAACCCATGACATAGTAGATGTGCGGCCCTCAGCAACTTTTTTAAACTCTCTGAGCTTCAGTTTCCTCATTCATAAAACAGGGAAAATTGGTTATTTTGAGGCTAAAATGAAGGAGCTGGTGGTGAGCACAGGCTTTGGTGTTAGATTTGGACAGCCCTGCAGAAAGCTGTAGAGGTTTGGATGAATTATTTTCCTTCTCTACACCTCAGTTTCTTCCTCTATACAATGAAAATAATGCTACTTACTTCAAAGCAGTGAAGACTAGTGGCAGGACTTCGAAGATTAAAAGAAAGAACACAAGTTAAATGCTTAGCACATAAAGGCAGAGCATTGGTTCTCATTCTTTTCCTCCTGTTTCCTGGAGGGTTTTTAGTTATTATATGAAGTAAAAAAAAATCCTTTCAGCACTTCTGACGCAAGTTGATTATTACAACCAATGACAATTGACTAGCTATCTACTGGTGAAGCACTATTCCTAATGAATCTCAGGATATTTATTTTTTTCCCCTTTAAAATAGCTTCCATCAGTTTCTAGCTTAAAATTCTCCATTTGTTTAGCTCTTAAACTGCTCAGGAAGAACCCAAGAAATCAGTCAAGTGGAAAAAGCTGAAGTGGGATAAAAGCAGGAACTCTATGGTGAGTAGAATCTTGAAACTGCAACCAATTTTTGCACCTAATGGAATTCCCCTGAAGGCCCAAAAAATGTGCATAAAATCTGGAAAAACTGGCTGTCTCCTGGTTGAGCAAGTCACATACTTTACCTACAAGTTGAGGACAGGTGAATTTGAAATTTTTCTCTAACCCACAGGATCTAAGATGTGTCAGGGCCTGGCTTTTCCATGAAGATCACTCTGCAGGAAGACGTCACGGGCTTCCCCCATGCCCTAAGAAATGACATTTCAAGTCAAAGAATGAAAGTGACGTTTGATTTTTGAATGTATTCCTAGGCCCCAATTTGACCTGTAGTTCCCTACGCTGTGTTTATAGAGGTTTTGGTCTTGAAATATCTCCTCTTTTGATAAGAAAAACCAATGGTAATCCTGCCTTATTACAACTGGGGAATATTATCCCATTATTTACTTAAAGGATTTCTGGAAATTTCTAAACTGATGCCAAAATTATTATTATTATTAATGGCACGAGATTAAAAGTACAAATTCTGCTACTAGTGGCAACCTTTAGTGGGTCCTGCGAAGTTCGAGGAAATAGAAAAATAAAATGCACTTGACAACAGGACTAAAGATAAAAGCCAGGTTTAGGAGGTCTTTCTTTCCAAGTCTTTCAGGCTTTTTCAGCCAATATCTTAAAGTTTAATGCCCCTTTGAAAATGTCACAAGAGAGGAGCAGACATAATTTGTTCTGTTGCTCAATATGTCTGTTTCCAGCTACAATATCATGATTATGCATATATTTTCTTGAAATTCTGGAAATCATGTGCCTAAATATAACTGCCAAGATAGTTTTCACAGAATTTTAAAAGTAACTCTCTATAAAATACTGTAAGCCTTTGTAATTAAGTGTTCCCTGTCTTATTTTGCTCAATTCCAAATTAATGACTGGCAAAATATAGTTCTTAAATAACTGAAGGAAGATTTTCCTCATAAACCTCTGTACAGATACCATTGGTATGTGACCTTGTGAAGGTCACATAATAATTCCCAAGGGAAAAGAAGGAATAAGAACCCAACTTCAAACCCTTGTAAAATTGTTTTCCAGAAACCAGTAAGACAAAAGTTTATAAACTACTTAGTTTCATCACTATTATTTTATTAAATGAAATTAAGACTTTTCCTGATCACTCCTTGCTTTTAGAAGCCCATTATATTCAATTTTAAAGCCAGAGATTCTCAAAAATGGTAACTTTGAAAAAATAAAAATACTCCAAGGGATGGTAAACTGCCTTTAAAAACGAAACTGCTCTTAAAAAAACCACCTTTCCCTTGAACAAGTTTCATACTGAAGTGAGAAGCAGTTAACTATCTTTGGAATTTTCTTGATGCCTAAAAGAAAGAATCATTTATTTTATATTCCTACTACGTTCTTTCATGTTGCTGATTCTTAAGGCTTTCTGAAAAATTCTCTAGCACTGCATTGGATAACACATTGGTTACTCAGATTCTGGGCTTTTAATGTTTTGAAGAACTAAAATTGTAAGAATGAGAAAGCCATGTGTGGTACAGTGCAAGAAGCAAAGATCCACTGCTGAAGTAGATGAGGTTCCAGTCCTGGTTCTAAAGGGGTTTGCCCAACTAGTTGTGTGATTTTGAGAAAGTCACCGAAGTTCCTTAATTTGTTTTCGTATCTGTTAAATAAGGTGAGTGGATCTGTTGATTATCTAAGGACCCTTCCAGCCTAATATGCAAACCAATTTCTTGTTACAACAATGCAGGACAGTTTAAATGCTGGGCTTTGTGGACGGAACCTGAAGGAGAGTTCCATCTAGGACATTTTTAAAGAGCAGGCCACCCTTGGATAAATTAATCAATCTAACCAAGTCTCAACTTGAAAAAAATGACTAAAAATATGTACTTTTATAAGTTTTTTGTGACATTAAATGAGATAATGTAGATACAGAGTACTTAGAATAATTGGTAAATTTAATTACTCAATAAAATAAATGTAGCTATTATCATCTGTGTGAATTCACAAAATAATACTTTCTTGTCTCAACTTTATCTGTAAAATGAGGTAGTTAGAGCAGATGAAAATTCTGTTCAAAGATGTATGACTACATATTTGTAATAGATGGCCAAAAATCCACGACTGGAGCAAGAAGGGGTATTTTTTATGAACTCGTAAACATTGCCTTTCTGTCTTCCCAGCTCCACGTTAGTGCCCTACTTTTGTCCTCACAGGTGTGACATAACTTGTACCGGTTTTTTATTCAAGCAAAGAATTAATAGATTGATGACTTTTACTAAGATACTTGTATGGCTTTTACTAAGATGGCAAAAAAATCTAGGACCCTCCCTTTCCTCCAACTCCCTCCCCTATTCTGCATTTTCCCAATTGATTTTTTTTAACCTGAGTGCAGCACTAAAATATATTTTAAGCTCCATAAAATACATCATGTTCATTCAGTTTCTAGTTCCGGTTAAAAACTTTAAGAATCTGATTCTGCCATAAAACACACTGGTACACTGAGTCACCCGGTGTTGGGATTCTTGGTGGTTTACACTCTCTTCTTTTGCTTAAATGATTTCACACAAAGAGCATGCGTTACTTACGTGGCAAGCTAAAAAAAGAATACAAAAACTGAATAAATCTGGCCGGTCTATTGTTAATATTAATAAGCACGTTTTTCTAGAACTCCTTGATTTAAAAAAGTGATGAGAGGCGGGAACCAACTACGGACTCCTCTCACTAAAAATCTCCCTATAAATTCCACAGATCAGAAGCTAAGAAAGTTTCCACACAGAATTAAGAGAAAAACGTTGAGTCAGACTCTAGGGCTCGTATGAAATAGCATGAATAACACACTAGTCAAAAGTTTCCATGTGATTCCCAGATCAACCTGGAACTTTCCAGAGCCTTCAGTTTGCTTACCTGTGAAGTAGGGCTAATGATAATACCCACCTCCTACCTCATCGGATTGTTCGAAGGATGAATTCAGTAATGCACACAAAATGCCTAACCAAGTGTCTGATGAGGGCTCAATAAACTATATTACTGCAAACATTTCATAGCTGACATTTTAGTGTGAAGTGTCTCAAAAAAAAAACCCCAAGAGACTTCTGGCAAGCCAGGAACTTGGTATTGTCCACCGAGTCAACGCCGCTCATGAACTCAGTCCAGCCAACAGCCAGGCGCGGCGCGGTAGCCACTGTGCAAGACAGAATTGGGGTCTCCCTAGGGTGGCGGTCCCACAGGCTCGAGATCGCTTTCAAAGCTATGCGGGGCAGAGGTGAGGCTCCAGCTGGTCTGGACAGGAGACGGTTGCCATGGCAACCGCCACGGATGGTCATTTAGCGCTCCACCTCTTCCGGCTGAACCGAAAGTCCGCACAGGGAAGACAAACCGCACGCCCCGAGGTGGATACCTGAGGCCTCTCGGCGCCTTCGCCGGCCGCGCGCTCCGGGAAAAGGCCGACAGCACCACGGCGCCGGCCGCCGGGCCCGTCTTCCCGGCCCTTCCGGGGACCGCCGTCCTTTAACCCCGGAAGTAGGCGGGGGAGGAAGCGGCCGGTGATGCTGGAACAAAGATGGCCGCTTTGGCGCCCGTCGGTCCCGCGGGTCCCCGCTGTCGTCCGCTAACTGCGGGCCTCCGGCTGCTTCCGCTCCTGGGGCTGCTGCAGCTGCTGGCCGAGCCCGGCCTCGGCCGCGTCCACCACCTGGCGCTCAAGGTAAGGCCGGCCGGGGCTGAGCAGGGCCGCGCCAGGCCGGGGGGCAGAGGCCGAGGCCGCTTCCCTGGGGCCGGGGCCGGGCGAGGGTGTCTCGGACCGAGTGCTGCCCTCCCCGCTTCCCGCCCCTGGGCACGGCCTCTCCGAGAGGGGTCTGCAACCGGGAACCAGGGGAGTGGCCGGGGCCCTCTGGTCGTCGAGTAGGGGCAGGACGATTCGAGCTGGGAGAGGGGAAGGGGCCGAACTGCGGCGTAACCCCGAAGGACTCGGGAAGCCGGGCGGGCAACCCCTGCCGGCTTCCCTAGGTTCCTCGCCCATAGCACCCTGCTCTTCCTCCAGTCGTCTCACTTGCAACTTTTGTCCCCGACTTCGCTGGTCCGCGGTATCCACTTTTCCATCATCTTGTGCCCTTTGTGCGCGAAACCTTATCCTTAGTTTCCCGGTTCGGTTTAGGGCGCCGTCTGGACTGGTCAGAGCTGGAATCTGCAGAACTTTCAAATCTTACTTGAAATACATGACAGAAAATTTAAAACCAGCATTAAAAATGTTTATAATTAGAGGTCTGCCGTTTTCTTTCACACTGCCCCCAGTGTCTAGGGAAGAGATTTATGATAGGCACTAGATCTTGCTTTATAACTCACAACTAAAAGTCGTCCAAGCTTCCAAGCGGTTCAGCAGGTTAATACATATGTGGGGACTAGAAAAAGAAACCGTTATGCCCCAAAGCCTTGTACATTAGTTTCACAGTGTACAATTTTCTAAGAAGTGTGATATTGTGGAAGTTGGTCTTATTAAAACACATTACCAAACCATGAAGCATTATATTTTGTGAACAACCTAGATGTGAAAGAATACAGAATCTAGGTTAAAAATCCTGGCCAGACCCATACCCCATACTTTCGGGTATCAGCATTTGTTTGTAAATAAAAATTATGGTTCTTAACCACAGGGAGATAGGTGGGTCTTGGCTCCTTTTGTAAATCTGCTGAAAGCTATAGAACCTCTCCCTGGAGAAGTGCAGGTAGAAGTGTAGGCAGAACTTTCTTGGAATTTCTGATACTCAAGAATCCTTCTGAAGCTTATCCATAGGCCCCGGCCCCCCGGGTTTATGACTCCAATTTAAGAACTACTGATCTTTAAATTCTTTCATTTTATAGTTCAGGCTCCTGAGGCTTAAGATTAAATAGTATAACTGGATTCATACAAGTTATAAACTAGAGACAAAGCTAAGAGGAGTAGGACACACTGGAATGTGTCTCTTGGTTCCCAGTTCGGTGCTCTTTGTAGGTTTCCAGAATTGTGATTTCAGGTGGCTGTCATTGTTAGGTAAATATTAACAGTATTGGTATATATGAAAATGTGTAGTAACCTCAGGCATAGAAGCATTGAATTGTTATAACTCTGGGGATTGATTCTACCTGTTGTGCTAAATTACTTAATGTTTTTCATCAGTAACATGTTTTGTAAGTACCGGGATGCACATTCAGTAATCAAGTGCTTCTTTTATTTTTATTTTTATTTTTATTTTTTGATTTTGGTATCATTAATGTACAATTCCTTGAACAACATTATGGTTGCTAGACTCCCCCTATTATCAAGTCCCCCCCACATACCCCATTACAGTCACTGTCCATCAGTGTAGTAAGATGCTATAGAATCATTACTTGTCTTCTCTGTATATACTGCCTTTCCCGTGTCTACCTGCTCCCCACCACTACGTTATGTGTGCTAATTGTAATGCCCCCTTTTCCCCCTTATCCCTTCCTTCCCACCCATCCTCCCCAGTCCCTTTCCCTTTGGTAACTGTTGGTCTGTTCTTGGGTTCTGTGAGTCTGCTGCTGTTTTGTTCCTTCCGTTTTTTCTTTGTTCCTATGTTCCACAGATGAGTGAAATCATTTGATACTTGTCTTTCTCTGCCTGGCTTATTTCACTGAGCATAATACCCTCTAGCTCCATCCATGTTGTTGCAAATGGTAGGATTTGTTTTCTTCTTATGGCTGAAGAGTATTCCATTGTGTATATGTATCACATCTTCTTTATCCATTCATCTACTGATGGACACTTAGGTTGCTTTCATTTCTTGTCTATTGTAAATAGTGCTGTGATAAACATAGGGGTGCATATGTCTTTTTGAAACTGGGATCCTGCATTCTTAGGGTAAATTCCTAGGAGTGGAATTCCTGGGTCAAATGGTATTTCTATTTTTAGGTTTTTGAGGAACCTCCATACTGCTTTCCACAATGGTTGAACTAGTTTACATTCCCACCAGCAGTGTAGGAGGGTTCCCCTTTCCCCACATCCTTGCCAGCATTTGTTGTTGTTTGTATTTTGGATATGGGCCATCCTAACTCATGTGGTCATCAAGTATTTCTTTTAAAGTAAATGTTGACCTCTTGCCCAAGGAAACAGAGAGAACCTGTTAGAGCAGCAACATTAGATTGTATTGTTTTTCAGGAGACTGAGAGGTAGGAGACTTGATCAGGTCATAGACCCAGACTGGCAAGAATAACAAGAATTCACCCAGTGCCAGAAATATGCATTGATCTTTTTAAAAACATTTTATCATGGGGCATTTCAAACATAGGCTGATAGTAAGCAGGGTGAACTCCCACATTCCTGACATCCAGCCTCAGGGACCATTAACCAGTGGGTAATTCTGTCCCATCCCCACACACATAACTTTTCTCTTCACATTCTTCATTTTTTTAAATTGAAAGTTAGTCCTTTCATTGTTTCATTCATTTTTCTTATCCCATCCTACATTTTCCATCATTCTTTGGGTTTTCCCAATCTTCTCAAATTCCTTGATACCTTGTCTTTATCAAACAAGTTTATTGAAGTACAATTTACCATAAAGTTCACTCATTTTAAATGAACAATTCAATGATTGTTAGTAAGTTTACCAAATTTTACAGCTATCACCACAATTCAGCTGTAGAACATTTCCGTAAGATTAGGACATTTCTCCACATGATCTCTTGTGATAGTTTACAAGGAATTCCCATACTCAGCCCCAAGCAACCTCTGATCTACTTTCTGTCTCTATAGATTTGCCCTTTCTAGGTATTTCATATAAAGGGAATCATACAGTATGTGATCTTTTGCATCTGACTTCTTTACTTGTATTTTTGTTGTTCATCCATGTGGTACCATGTTGTGAATAAAATGAAAGTTCCTGTGGCCAGGATTCTCACCTGGTCCTGGTTGGCTAGCTCACTACACATGTGTGGGCAATGCATTGTTATTGACTCTATATATAAAGAGCCCTGCCCAGTGCTCTAGGCCACATGCTGGCATGGCTGCAAGGCTGCAGGAGAGCAGAGCAGAGGTTGGAGTGGTGGCAGTGCCAAGGACAGAGGCCCAGAGGACGGCTGTGTGGACAGAGAGGCCCAGAGGCAGAGACTGGCTTGCTGCATGCGGACTCGCACTGAGTGAAGGGGATTTTAGTGATTGACCTGACACCATGGAAATAAAGTTGGGTATAACCCTATCACCCCAGGACCGTTCTACTGTCATTTCTTTGGTCACACTAAATCCACAGTGAACTTGTCCGTGGCTGAAAGTCACTGGCAAGACACATGTGTTAGTAATTCATTCCTTTTTATGGCTCAATACTGTTCCATCGTATGGACATACCACATTTTTCTTAGCCATTCACCAGTTGATGGATACTGTTTTTTTCTCATTTTTGGCCATTGTGAATAATGCTGCTACAGACATCACATGCAAGTCTTTGTGGGGACAAATGTTACTATGTTGATCTAGATCCTTGGTAAGAATCTAGAGTCTTCATGGTGTTTGGATTCGATTTTTTGACAAGACTGCACCAGAAGTGCATGTTTTTCTTTTTGTCATGTTGTCCCCTGTTGATATCCAGTGCTTATATCCCTTTGTGTCTTAGTCTGTTCAGGCTGGGTAACTTACAAATAACATCAACTTGTTTTTCACAGTTCTTGAGGCTGAGAAGTCCAAGATCAAGGAATGGTCGCATTTTGGTGAGGGCCCTCTTTCTGTTTCACCGCTGGCACCCTCTTGCTGTGTCCTCGGTAGTGGAATGGGTGAGGGAGCTCTCTTTAATAAGATCACTAATCCCATTCACAAAGGCTTTGCCCTCATGATGTAAGTGCCTCCCAAAGCTCTCACTCCCTAATACTGTCATCTCTGGGGGTTAGGATTTCAACATATGAAATTTGAGGGGACACAGACCTTCAGACAGTGGCAGTTAAGTATATTGATCTTTCTGTGCCATTTGGTATTAAAGTATAGGACTGTCTTGATTGAGTTATATATTTTATTTTATGGCAGATCTTGTTATATTTCTCAAAGATGGCACACAAGACAGTGGGAAAGCATATAAAATGCAAACAAGTATCATGTCTTATTCGTGTGCTAAGAAACATTTATAGATTGTGTATATTAGGTATGGTCCCTGTGACCACTGAGGTTGCAGATCAGTAGAAAACAAGATATGGTCCCCCATTTTGTAAGTACAATATAGATTTCTCTCTTGGTTGATGGGAATTTTTCTTAAGTATTTTAATACTTCTTGACTTCATAGACTCAAGATATGAACTGTAATTTAGCTTATTCTGGATGATGGGTAGTTTCCATTCATTTATTCAGTAAACATTTTCTGAGTCCTAACTTTGAACAGATGGTCTTTAAATGATCATTGATGGAGCTAATGGGGTTAGCGGTGGGGAAGCAAGCTGAACTGCCACTCCTTAGGTGAGACTGGAGGGTGGTAGCACTGGGCTGGAGGTCAAGGATGCATTCTAAGAAAGTTCTAAAAGTGTACGATGAGCTCCAACCTGAGAGTTGACCTTTCCGTGACTCTCACTGGATCAGACCGTAAATGGCACTCTTAAAAATTCTTCCCATCAAATAGTATCAGGAATGAAAATCTAAGCTATACCTACCACTTCAGGAAAGTTACTGTTCCAGCAAACAGTCTAGCAGATCAGCTTATTTCTTTGGTCATCAAGGAGACATATTCAGTTGACTCACACAGCAGAGGAAAATGTCTGTATCAGTGTTTTTCACATTATGTGTTTGACCCATTAGTAGGTCATGAAATCAATTCTGTGAGTCATGGTGAGCAGTTTTAAAAAACAACATAAAATATCAGAGTGCTTTGCATGAATCCTTTGCCAGAATTGGAATTCTGAGGAGTTCCAAGAATTCAAGGAATACTAAGATCAATTTCAAATATCTTTATATGAAAAGATAATTAATGGAGGGGATGTGATGAATAGAATATGTTAGCTAAAAAATGATTTTTCAATCATTTGTCCACTGGTCAGTATCCTTTTTAATTTTCATAAAAACAGGGTTAATGTTTAGTCTAGTTTTAGACTAGACTGTTGCCGTGGCTTGCAACCAGATGTGAATTCAGATGTTCAGCTGAGATGCAGTTGCAAACTACATTTTTTGGAAAGATGTTATATAGGCTGTACACACACACACACACACACACACACACACACACACACACACACACACATTTTGAGTTAGTGGCAGTTACAACATTTTAAT